AATGAGAAGACTTACCTGACACTGTCGACAAGTATCTCACACCCGAACTGCCGGAACTAGTCTTTGCCTAATCAACGAAATAATTATCCCTAATTAATAATTAGGGTATATAAAAATCAATTCGTGAGTCAACATCCCACAACTAAGTCCTCCAAAGGCAAAAAGACCATTTTTCCCCTTCACATGGTCCAAAACCATAAATATTGACCAAAAGTCAAAAGGCAATGAAAAGTCAACTGCCCAGCGCGTAGGCGGGGAGTACAACTCAATCAGAAGCCATTGGGGCAGAACCGGCTACGTGGGCGTAGCTAGGCGTACGCCCAACGTACTCCGACTGCTTTCTTTTTCACCAACTTTGTGTCTTTATCCTTTAAGACAACTAACCAAGCCTTATATATGACCCATCTAAGATGTCTTAATCCATAAAGTCATCGACTTTAAGCCTTTGCATGGCTAGGAAGGACTCTATGCAACAAACCTTAACTTCTAACACACTCTAAGCTACTTTACTCATGCATGAGCCATATGGAATGATCAAACAACCATTTTTATGAATCTACAGGTCCTAAAATGCATGAAAGGACAACTACAATTCCCTTGCGTGCTCCAAACTCATAGAGGTCAAATCTTTGGGAAAAAAACTCATAAAACTTCAACCGTGTAGATCAAATCGAAAACTCATCAAGGTATAAACTTTATACATGAAAAAGATGCACAAGGTGGAAAGGTTCCTGGATCTACAAGCTTGCAATCAAACACTTCTTTTTAATCAAACACTTCTTTTTTCTCTGGACTCCTTCAACAAAATGCACTAAAACACTTAATAAGCTCAAAAATCTCACACAAGCAACTAAGACTCGAAATCAGGGTTTGGGGAGGGAGTGATGGTTGATAAGGATGATCAAATAGGGATATAATGTTGTTTAAATAGGGAGAAACCCTTAAAATTAGGGTTTGGAGTAAGTATGCCCAACGTACTAGCGGATCATGCATAATTCCATGTTGTACGAGTACGTTGTGCATACTCTTAAGTATGCACTGCGTACGACCAAAAATGCAAGTGTTATCCTTAAGGGACCAATTATGCAACTTTTGATAAAGATAAAAGCAATAATAAAAAAATACTTGACATTGGAATGTTACAATACTCCTACGCCTCTCATACTCACCTTATATAACTTCCACCACTAACATATATCTACCCATACCCACATGATCCCTACCCTCACACCTACACCCAAATTCTCACATTAATCTTAATCCCACCTTACTTTTACCCCTATCCTTACCCTCGTATCGATGCCCACATACATTAATCTCTAACTAGGGTTTAACTTCCATCGTCATATTTGACCCTTTAAGTTTGTGTTTTGAGTCATTTGGTTTTTGCTTGTGGCTTAGGGCTCAAGGCTTAAGTGGTAGAGCTTAGGGCTTATGACTCATGACATCGGTCATATGACTACAGTAAAGAAAAATAAAAATACTTATATTATCATTAAAAGTTTTAAATTATATATATATATATATATATATATATATATATATATATATATATATATATATATATATATATATAGTACTTATGATTATAATAAAGCAAAATAAGTTAATAAGATTTTCTAGTAAACTTAATTTTAATAAAGCTAAATTATAAATTTAAGATTTAAAATAATTTTAATTATAAAATTTTATTATCAGTTATTTCAATCTATTTTTCAATACCTTAAAATTTTGACATAATCTTATTCTAAATCCCGCTATGTTATCCCGCTCACAATTGACCGTTGTCTCCATTCTCTCTTAACCGATATCATCATGGACCAATCTTCTCTCCCTCTCACCAATCAATGGCGACGTCGACAACAATTAACCCATGACCAGTAATGAGATAATAAAACCAGGCCAATGGAAATCGAGATGAGTGAAATCGAGAATTCTAGGATTGGTGTTAGGTTCCTTCCATCTCCTGTCAGCAACGTTTTACTTAGAGTTTCACATAAAACAGCCCCACATTCCCATTTATGTTTTCTCTGCTTAAAATTTTAGTCTTCATCTCGACGCTACAATAGTTTGGAGCCCTATAATCGAGTGTAAATGTAATCCTTAAACATGTTTTATTTGATATTGCTGATTAGGTGATACTTTGGTTGATAAGTTAGGAGTTAATCTCCCATTAATGTTCAAGTAATTCTTATTTCATCCTCCATGTTTAAATATGATGTTTTTGATAAGTGGTTCAGCATATTTGTTTTCAATTGTAATTAGGAAGGGGGCATTTCTTTTGTTTTTGGGTATGATTACCTGCAATCACTGCAATCAGTTGGTACTAATTTCATATAAGGTTGCAAAAGACCTAAAAGCAAGTTTAAGAGAAGCAACAATATTGTTGACGGAGAGAAATATATCTTTTAATTATTTTTTTATATCTTCTGTTTATCTTTTAAATCCTTAAAACTCTTCTTATAATGCTTTAATTTGGTCTGATTATGAAGAAGAAGAATGTTGAATGATGTTTCTTACCTTAAGCAATTCAAGGTGAGTGCTTATTAATTCATTTTACTTCATTTCTATGCAAAAATATGTAAATACCCTTTTGGTAATACCGTAATAGATCAAAATATGACCTGCAGTTGTCATTGCTAGTGGAAAGCTTATCATTGCAAGCACCTAATATTTTCTATCCTTCAAACTCTTTATTTTTTTTTCCTATATCATTAATTTTGACTTTCTTTTTTCTTTTGCAATTTCTGCATTTGGAATTAGATGGTTTTTCTCCTATATCATTAATTTTGACTTTCTTTTTTCTTTTGTAGTTTCTGCATTTGGAATTAGATGGTCTGCTTTGAGACCACCACTTTTCACTCCTCACTGACCCCTTCACAAGTAGTTTTCTTTTTCTCTACATGTTTTTCTATTTATGACATTTATTTCTTGCATTATATGTGGTTTTTGTACATCAAGTTTGCTTTCATTCAAAAATATAAATCACATACATGTTTTTAGATTTTATCTCAAAAATGTTGATGATCTCATGCATTACCCTGAAGTTATCAATTTAGGGTTGTTGGGATTTGCTTTAAATTTATTATTGGTAATTCGGAGCAATCAACTTAGGGTAATTGCCAAAATTTGATTGTGATTATTTATTTTTTGATCATTGAGGATTAAAATAATGATGTCTTGTGATCATATGGTTAGTAAGATTTGCAGATTATGATGTCTTGTGATATTTTGATAATTGATATTAACGTTTCTCTATGTGTTTGGAGTTTTTAGGCTTGTTTGAACTTGGTATGTTGCTTCTAATTACAAGTAGAATTGACAAAGGAAAAAGTCACGCATATGTCCTAAAAAAATTGTATTTGTTTTCACATGTGAATCTTGTTCTTTCTCATGTTTGTTTACTCTTTTTTTCGTTACAAGTCTTGTATGATCACCAAGAATGTTTGTTTTGTTTGATGCAAGTGTAGGAATGGCTATGACAAGGAGATTAACTAGAAGCTGGAACAATCGTGATGCATCTAGCAATAATAACTTCAAGATTGATGATGTGGGTCACAAATGATTATAATCCAAGTGTTGGGTAACATAAATACATACTAAATAATGTGGGAAAGACATACAAGAGCAAGTATTCAGGTGGTTCACTTTTCATAAGATCCCTCAAATTGATTTTGTGAGTTTTTCTTCATAATACAGTGTTATTTGATATTACAAATTCTCTAACTGATAATAAAAGACCATTTGCTGCATCTGGACTAGAAATCACACCATTGCCAATTAATATTCTATTTGTTTTTTATTTTTTGGTTGAAATAAAAAAATACAAATTACCATTAACCAAGATTCTATCTTTTGTTTACCTCCATTTCGGTGACTTAGGTAGTGTTTAGGATTAGATTAGGTGGTGTTTAGGAGTAGGATAGTTTGCCGTTTCAAAAAAAATTAACATATGAACATTTAGCAAATGCTAACTACTACTCCTATGGTCAGATTGTAATTTTGTTTTAGGTGTTGGAGAATTAAATATATGGCCAATGTGTAATAGTGTTATTATAGAAAATGTCCAAGTGTTGTACATTGTTAGAAATTGTTCATGTTTCACAAAATTACTTAACAATTTATATTTGTTTCAATGTTTTACACCTACAACTTTTGTTGGTCCAGAATCCACTATCCAAACAAAATAAAAAACAATGAATTTCACATTTCAAGAAGCAAAAGAAAACATTGACAACAATATGACATCAAAAGCAAACAAAGACCAAGATGAACAAGAAAAAACTCTTGGAGATATAGTATTAGCTTATTTGCACAATCATTTCTCTTTAAAACTTCTATATATATCCTTTGATTAAAATTTTATTTCTTTAGTATGTACATTGAAAACTTATGTATTGATTGGTTTTATTAATGTTAATATCACTTGTTTTTAGGGCTTATCTTGTTTATTGTTATATTTATTTTACAAATAAATGAAAATAAAATGGATAATATACTTATTTATAACCGTGGATTTACATAAACATTAGTTACATCATAATAAAAAAATTCATGCGGCTTTACATAAAGGAAAATGCCACTGTAGCCCCACTAACTTACAAGTTTTGGTTTAAAAGGTCTCTTATTTTATTTTTTGGCTTTAGAAGGGCATAAACTAACATTTAATCGACTAATTTGGGATTTTGACCCAATTCAACCGGTTTGCTTGCCATGTCATCATCCAAGTAAGCTACTGAGTCAACTCAGACAACTCGGTTTACACATCATCGAATCACCACCGAGTTCACTTACTTGGGCACTAAGGGTCAGGTGGTCTCGTACTATATAAATGGATGGTCTCTTGGACAAAACCCTAAGGCTTTGTTACCACTTCCGGCCAAACACAACCCGACAAACGAAAATAGAATACATGTGTTCCCTTTCACTGTCTTCCATGGAGCCTACCCCACCACCATCACTAGATACTATAAACTCCAAAAACTTGATTAGCTCAAGAGATGGGCTATACTTTAACGATTTGCACACGATTTTTCTTCGATTGTGGTGATAAAATAGTTGAGCAAAAAGGTGAGGTGGAGCTCATGAAGGAGGAGATGGGTCGCGATTACCTTCATCCCAGGGTTGATGTCCTGAACATGCAGCAAAGGTTCGAGAAGGTTGAGAAGCAGATTCAAGCTATTGCATTGTTGGTTGTGGGTCTTGTCGTGGTGATGCTCCTTCTAATGATTTTCATCATTCACTTGATAGTCAACAAGTGATTCTCAAGGAGGTGAATAGTAGTGGTATGATAGTCTAGTGTTCGTCGTAATCGTCTATTATGTTTAAGGTTTTTATTGTAATATATGTTATTAGGATTGTGTGTGTTCGTTTGTGTTTGTGGTAATCGTGTATGATGTTTGTGGTAATCTACTGGTGGTTGTTTACGGATGTTTTTTGAAGTCCTGGGAACATGTAATAGGCATTTTGATATTATCTTGATGAAATGTAAAGGCCTTGAATGCGTTTTGATTTGTTGGGATCAATGTTCTTGATTCAGACTAACGATTTGGACACTTGGTTGGCTTAATTAATAAAATTTAATTGTTTTTTGGTACATCAACTGTGACAGATGTTAATGAGGTCAAACATTGGGGTAATTTTGTCAAGGGGTATTTTCAGAATTTACAATTTTTAAGAACTTACTTCTTTACTCGGCTGGGGTATTTTCATCATTTTCTCTTTATAAGTACTTTACCTCCTTTACTCGACAGTACATCCCATTTCTTTGTACATGTTCTTGTTTGCATTTTGAAGTATCTCGGAAATAACGAAGCAAAAATGGTGAAATTCTCATGTGGATGTTTGGCCATAATCAAAATGTCTTCCACTCCATCAAACCCTGGAAGACCATTCTATGCTTACCTCACTAAGGTTTGTTTGACTTTCTTTATCAGGTCACTGTAGCCCTAATTTATTTGTTTTTATCTTTGCATTCTACACTTCTAACTTCTAAATTGATTTTGTTAGGGACCTCGTAATGGTTTTTATTTGTTGGGTAGAAGAAGCAGACACTAAGAATATGAGTGCTGAAGCAGTTATGATTGCAAGATTGGCTAGGTCAAAAAAGAAGCTTGAATCAAAGATTTGGAAACTGAAGATGTCTTTTGTTCTAAGTTGGATTATTTTCTTTAGCATAATTGTGTACAAGTTGTAATTCGTATGTAGCAGTTTTTTATGTCCTTGTCAGGGAAATTGTTATGGTTATTTACATTATCCTTGTAATGACTTTCAATCACTAATGTCAATAATAGACACCAATGCCATGTTCACCTAGAGTAAAATGGGCCATATATATCCAACACTAATGTAAATAATGGACCCCAATACCATGCACGTCTATAAACACAACACACCATCATAAGGACATTGAAACCTTTTGCATACATAACACCACAGTGAGTTCATAACATAGTAATTTATATTAGATTAAAATTAAACAAAAATAGTACATAACATACAATCTAAACACTTAATCCAACATTGTTTAGCATAACCAAAGTGACTACATAACACCACAGTGAGTACATAACATAAAATTGAAACACTTAATCCAACATTGTTTAGCATGACCAAAGTGAGTACAAAACATCAAATTAAAACACTTAACCTGAAATTAGTTGTCATAAACACATTGACTACATAACGAAATTGACCACACTTAACCTATTCTAGTTCCATTGGCTTGTCAATAGTGTGGCCTTCTCCATTTTTACCCTCAACCCGTGTACCAAGTTTTTTCTTCAAAATTCTTTCCGACTTCTTTCTTGTCTTGACAATTACCTTTTTACCCATCCCTCCTATATCATCTTTACCATCCTTTGTCTTCCTACCATTGCTTCTTTCCCCAACATTACCATTACCGCCCTTTTTACGCCTCCTGTCACACCCCTAAACCAGACAGCGGAAACGTCCGGGGGTGGAGGACTTCATTTGTAGTATCACAACACATGCATCATAGTAATCAAAGTACAAGCCACCATTGTATTTAAAAGTATAATATTTACATGTGTTCAATCATTGTATATTGAAACCAAAATAGTTATACAAAAGAAGAAGATAAGACTTATAATGGCTCCATCTTCTCAAAAAGCTCGGGGAGTACCTATTATTATTTCCCTAAGAATACAAGTAATTTGAAAAGAGAGTATCAACAATAAGTTGAGTGAGTACATAAGTCTTTATGTTTGCATGGGTGTCTTGGTATTTTGAATATGAAAACTGTTCTAGAAAATCCCATATTTTCTGTAGTATGTGAAAAGTAGTTTTATTCCCATAAAACCGTCCTATTTGTGAACCAATGTATTTGTAAAACTTGTAACTGAGTGTGTTCCTGGCTTCGCCAGCTGTTATTGAAAAATGTAGTATACCATTGTACTTTGTATTTTGTAAACTAGTACTTTGAAGATGTACCTACGTTTAGTTGTTTATACACTAACGTGTTATTAATATCTTTTTAATGAGTTATTATAACCATACTAAGACATGAACGCCTGAAACAAACGCCTTGTGAGCGCTTAAACTGTTGATAACAATTGCCACTCATTGGCGTGTATGCCTGACTGTAGCTAGCAGTCTGAGTCTGAGGTTGTCAATCCCGATATAGATCTACACACAACTTGTTTCGATCTCCGGACTGGGGATTCTGGTTATAATGTCAGGGCTTTACCTTGGTTGTCTAAAATGAATTAAACAACCTGAATTGAATATCTCATAAAAAGCATATAAAAGTTACATGTATATTAGTTATGAAAACCCAATCATTCTGAAATAAATGATTGACAATATGTTCTTGAATTAGTATTCTGAACATTTATTTGACAAGTTTAAACTCTTGATTTGTTTTGAATGAAAACCCTTCTTTCATGTAAAACAATGTATTCATGTATACTTAAATCCTGAAGTATTGCTCTATGTATTATAAATTATACCCATTATAATTTATATGTACTTTATGAATTGGTAAATAATTATTATTGCATGTAATACTTTGCTCAACATATTACAAAGGGTATTTAAACTGATGAGATAACTTTTATATTTATATACATGTAAAATTATGTATATTTGGGAAAAATATAAGTTTATAAAAGAGCTCAATATTTGGAGTATTTTTGATGCTTTAAAATCGTTTTATCGTCATTTGAAATCATTTATTTATAACAAAAAGTTGTTGTGTTATTCTTGTATCCCCCCCCCCCCCCCGTTAAAATAGTAGAAATTATGAAAATACGGGGGTATGAACTCACATGATAGGTGGTGATTTGGACAGAGTTTTAACAGGAGAGAGGATGAATTCTCAAGAATTTCGGGGCTTCAAGGCTTACTTCGGGTTCGAGTCTTGATACCGGGGCTTTAGGGGTTGTATATGAGCTTAGGGAGTGGAGAATGTGAAAGAGGGTGAAATTTAGGGTGAAAAAGTGAAAATTCTTTGGAATCCTCGCATGCCTTATATAGGCCGAAGCCTTGGATCCGAGGCCATGCGAGGCTACCGCGTGTTGGACAGGTGGCGAAGGGAGGGGAGCTTCTTCGGACCGGAGGCTCGCTGCTGGCTGGCTCGGATTGGACTGGACTTCGGTCCAATAGAAGAACGACACGTGCGAACGGAAGTGTGCGAGGGGCGTGTGTGAGGGGCGTCTCCGGTGTGTCTCCATGCGAAGCTGCTGGCTTCTTAGTGGACCTCGGCTGCGGCCCAATCAAGAGGCAACACACGAGGCTGCGGCCCAATCAGAAGATGCCACGTGGAGGCTCGCATGCGAGGGTGACGTGGCGTTACTGTTCATGCGAAAATTCCTGGTTTTTGCTATTTTTCTTTATTTTTTTGCCAAAACTTGTAAAATTCATAACTTTTGCATACGAACTCCGTTTTTGACGTTCTTTATATGCACACGTAGGTAAAATTATAGTCTACGACTTTCGTTTAGACTTCGTCGGCTAATTTTGACTTTATTTTTAATATTATTATTTTAAACAGACCGGGACGTGAATCCGTTATAAATTCATAACTTCTTCATACGACGTCCGTTTTTGTCTGTCTTTTTACTGTTGTACTACTAATGACGAGACCTTCAATTCTCATTTAGGTTGTGTTGGCTAAAAACTACTCGATCTTTATTTCGAGTTTTTAGCTGTACACTTCTATACTGAAACTTAAAAAAAATCATAACTTCTTAATACGAAGTCAGATTTTGGCGTTCTTTTTATGAAAGTTTCGGTTTAACATATACTATAACTTTCATTTAGATTGTTAAGGCTAGAAATCCTTTTATTAAAAATTCAGTTTTTATACTGAACAGTGTTTTGCCGGTTTTGTCGCGGATTTTCGATTGGTCATAACTTCTTCGTTATAACTCGGATTTTTGGGTTCTTTATATTTTTGGAAACCTTGTTACAATCTCTATCACTTGGTTCATCCCAATTGAGATTATTTAATAATTTATTTTTGAGGGTCAATTATGTAAATATACATAGTATGCTAAAATTTCTCTTTATTAATTTACAAAGAAGTACAAATTGACCTACACTATTACATAGGTTTGAAATAACGGTTTGTTACATTATCCCCCTGGTAGAGAGAATTTCGTCCCGAAATTTACTTTACAGATAGACTGGGGAAAAAGATGTGGGTATTTCTGTTGCATTTGATCCTCCCGCTCCCAAGTGAATTCAGGTCACCGCCTTGCATTCCAGCGAACCTTCACTATCGGGATGCAACTTTGTTTGGTTTTCTTAACTTCCCTATCTAGTATCTCTATGGGTTCTTCCACACAATTGAGGCTCTCATTTAACTCGATTTCCTCGAGTGGTATCACAAGAGTCTCATCGGAAAGACACTTTTTCAAGTTCGAAACGTGGAAGGTAGGATGAATGTTACTTAGTTCTTGGGGTAATCGTAGTTTGTAAGCTACAGGACCGATTCGGGCAAGAATCTCGAATGGTCCTATGTACCTTGGATTTAGTTTGTCATGCTTTCCAAAGCGTATCATGCCCTTCCAGGGTGAGACCTTCAGCAAAACTAGGTCACCAACCTGGAATTCCAAGGGTTTTCTCCTTTTGTCTGCGTAGCTTTTCTGTCTATCTCTGGAAGCTTTAAGTCATTCCTGAATTTGTACGATCCTCTCAGTAGTTTCTCGAATAATTTCTGGATCTGTAAGAGCGCTGTCAGGAGTTTGACCTTTAGCTAGCTGGGTGTCTCCCACTTCTGCCGAACACATAGGGGATCTGCACTTGCGGCCATAAAGGGCTTCAAATGGAGCAGCTTTTATGCTAGTGTGATAACTGTTGTTATAAGAGAATTCAACAAGGGGTAAATGAATATCCCATGCCTTCCCAAAGTCTATCACACAAGCTCGTAACATATCTTCTAACGTTTGAATCGTCCTTTCACTTTGTCCATCGGTTTGCGGATGGTAGGCTGTGCTCATGTCTAGCCTAGTTCCCACAGAGTTTTGTAAAGACTGCCAAAAACGAGAGGTGAATCTACTATCTCGATCTGAAATAATGGATATTGGTACACCATGCAGTCGAACAATCTCCTTGAGGTATGTTCTCGTTAGCTTTTCCATCTTGTCAGTCTCCTTGATTGGTAAGAAGTGTGCGAATTTGGTTAATCTATCGATGATTACCCAAATAGTATCATAACCACTTGACGTCTTGGGTAACTTGGTTATGAAATCCATTGTAATCCGCTCCCACTTCCATTCAGGGATTTCAGGTTGTTGTAATAATCCTGAAGGTTTCTAGTACTCTACCTTAACTTTGGCGCAAGTAAGGCACTTGACCATAAAGGTAGCGATTTCAGCCTTCATGTTAGGCCACCGATATAGTTTCTTAAGGTCCAGATACATCTTGTCTGAACCTGGGTGGATGGAGTATTGGGTTTTGTGTGCTTCATTCATAACCACGTCTCTGTAACCAACAAACTTTGGTTTCCAGATTCGCTTCATGAAATAATAGACTCCATCAACCCTAACTTCGAAGTTCTTATCCATTCCTCTTAGGGTTTCACCTGCCACATTTTCGAGTTTCAAGGCTTCAAATGTGAATGGATTGTCATGGTCAACGACTTTACCCGGCATCCCGAGTATTCTTTTCTACTAAGGGCGTTAGCTACTACGTTTGCTTTACCAGGGTGATAAAGAATTTCACACTCGTAATCGTTCAATAGCTCCACCCATCGTCGTTGTCTCATATTCAGCTCTTTCTGATCGAAGATATGTTGGAGACTTTTATGGTCCGTGAATATTGTGCATTTCGTGCCATATAAGTAATGTCTCCAGATCTTCAGAGCAAACACCACTGCTTATAGTTCAAGGTCATGTGTTGTATAGTTGACTTCATGTGTCTTTAGCTGTCTTGAGGCATAGGATATAACCTTTCCTCTTTGCATAAGAACACATCCAAGCCCTTGATTAGAAGCATCACAGTACACTACGAAATCCTCTGTCCCTTCAGGGAGAGATAGGATCGGTGCACTACACAAGGCTCGCTTCAGCATTTGGAACGTTGTTTCTTGCTTTTCTCCCCAACTATAAGTTACACCCTTTTGGGTCAGAGTAGTAAGAGGCTTAGCTATTCGAGAGAAATTTTGAATGAATCTGCGATAATAGCCAGCAAGACCTAAGAATTGTCGGATTTCTGTAGATGTTTTGGGTGCTGACCAGCTTTCAATTGCCTTTATTTTGGAAGGGTCGACGTGTATTCCTTCTGATCTGACAACATGACCTAGGAAAATTCGCATAGAGCTTCTCCGATCTAAGTGTTTGTAATATTTGACGAAGATGTTGGCCATGTTCCTCTTTGCTCTTTGAGTAGATAAGGATATCATCAATGAAGACTATAACGAATTTGTCCAAGAATGGACGACACACTCTGTTCATTAGGTCCATGAACACTGAAGGTGCATTTGTTAATCCGAATGGCATCACTGTAAAATCGTAATGACCATAGCGAGTTCTAAAAGCGGTTTTGGGAACGTCTTCCTCCAAAATTCGTAACTGGTGATACCCGGATCTTAAGTCTATCTTTGAGAAGTAGTTCGCCCCTTGAAGTTGTTCGAACAGATCGTCAATGCGAGGCAGAGGGTATCAATTCTTGATGGTAACTTTAGTCAGTTCACGGTAGTCTATACACATGCGGAATGATCCATCCTTCTTCTTTACGAACAAAATCGGTGCTCCCCAAGGTGAGAAGCTTAGTCTTATGAAACCTTTGCTTAGGAGTTTGTTAAGTTGGCTGGATAATTCCTACATTTCAGAAGGTGCAAGACGATAGGGGGATTTGGCTACAGGGGTAGCTCTAGGGATTAAGTCGATTCGGAATTCGACTTGTCGTTCGGGAGGCACCCCTAGAAGATCATTGGGAAATACATCAGGAAAGTTGCAGACCTTAGGAATGCTTGCGATGTCTTTCACTTCTTGATTTTTGTCTACCACATGATCTAGGAATGCACAATACTCTTTGCGAAGGTATTTTTGTGCCTTAATGCAAGAAATGATCTGAAGGTTCGTTCCGGGTTTTTCGCCGTAGATAATAAGAGTTTCGTTAGTTGGTAAGTTCAAACGAATAGCTCTTTCATAGCATAGGATGTCGGCATGGTTGGGGCACAACCAATCCATACCTATTATGATGTCAAAACTTTTGACAGAGACCGACACAAGGTCTATTGGGAAAGACAAGTTATTTAAGGTAAGGATACATCCTATGTATATATCGTTGGTGGATTCGAATTTCCCATTAGCCATTTCTACTGTGAAAGTTTTATTTAGTGGTTGGGAGTTCTGATTTAGTAGATGTTTAAAGTTATGGCTTACGAAGCTCCTCTCGGCACCACAATAAAAAAGAATGCATGCATAAGTATTGTTGAGAAGGAACGTACCCATGACCACTGCAGGGTCTGCTACTGCTTCTTCGTGACCTAGTGCTAGAATTCTCCCAACCCCACCGGCATTTCCAGCTTTTGGAAAATCTCTCTTGAAATGCCCCACATCACCGCATTGGTAGCATGCTCGACTTACTCCAGCGGCAGGTACTTGGTTAAGGGGTTGAGGTGGTGTTCTACAGAATCGGGCAGTATGCCCTTTCCTGTTGCAGTTACGACACTGCATTTCAGGGCAATTCCCGGTGTGGTGAAAATTTCACTTGTTGCATTTAGGGAGGCTACCGACATAGGGTTTAGTTGGTGATGGCTAGTTAGGGGCAACAGTAGGTGCAATAGTAGGTATGGTAGCAGGCACAGTAGTAGCATGGACTGCCACTATTTGTTGCTTCTTTGAAGGTTCCATAGGAGATTTTCCCTTTCTTTTGTTCCAACCCTTGTTGTTGTTGTTGTTGTTGTTCTCCCTAGGTTGTTCTGGGGCAGTAACCACAGAGTTTTGACGGTTTCCGTGGTCAATAAGTGACTATGCCAGTTCTTTGGCACTATCAAAGGTGACAGGTTTAGATGCAATGACGCTTACTTGTATCTGTTGGGTTATGAGCATTCTAACACTCCTAAGTGTACATGCAACCCTAAATAGCTTGGATCTATGTTTTCTCTATTATACATGCAAATATGAACATCCAAGGTATTATCCTAATCTAGCATA